TTTTTTCTGTGAATTTCAACATGAAATAGTCTTTCTCTTCTTCTGGACCTGCACATTGACCTATAAACGCTGCAGACATAAAAACTTTCAAAATCTATGAAGGTTTCTTTTCATATGATAAATACAATAACTCATATTTACTTATTAATTTAATTTGTATTTTAATTCACTTTTATGAATTTAAATATATACTAACAATACCAGTAATTTTTTGAAGGGAACTGAGTCTTACATATCGAATCAAATCGTTCATAGGCTACTTATGGTAAATGGTAAATGGACCTGTACTTGTATAGCGATCTCTAGTCTTCCGACCACTCAAAGCGCCTTTTACAACTACGTGCCACATTCGCCCTTTCATACACATTCACTCAGTGATGGCAAAGTCCATCACACAGAAACTAACTCATCCATACACATTCACACACGCAATGCTGTGCATCGAGGAGAATTTGGCGTCCAGTATCTTGCTCCAAGGATACTTCGACATGTGGCAGAGGAGCCGGGGATCGACCAACAACCTTCTGATTGTCTTATCACATCTTTCTTATAATTTTACCCTCTCGCGCCAAACATTTTTATAATTAATTTGGCTATTGAATGTATTTTTAACAACCCCTTCGTTTAGCCTATATCTCCTTTTTCATTCACTATTTTCTACTTACATTTTAAGTGTGCAGAAAAGCAGGTCGGAACTAAAGTCGCGCTTCAAAAAAAATCGCGACGGGATATTTTGACAGTGACACAAGACGTCATTGATTCGGAGCAGTCCTCTCATATCGACCAGCAGAGCTCGGTAAGTTCAGGGACAGAGAGCCGGTGTACCGTCATGAGCAGCAGTGCTGAGCGGACACTGCAGTGTGCTCGCTGGTGCTTCTCAAAGTGTCGCTTCTCCGACATGACACGGTGTTCTGTTGCTGACAGCGCTGACAACAGCTCGCTTCAATGCTAACGAAGCTAACGCTAGCCCGGCGGAGGGGGGGGGGGGGGCAGCAGCCAGCAGCACACAGGGTACTGCGGTCCGCGGCTTTAAGCTGCCGCTGGAGCTCAGGTACAGCAGTCTGAGCGGCGTGCTGCAGAGACACTGCTGTATGGTTTTATTGTGTCGTTAGCCGAGTGTGTCGTCCGGCTTCAAAAGGCTAACTTTAGCGGCTACCGTTGTTGTGGAGTGAATCCACAGGGCCGATAGAAACGAAAGGCTTTGGTCCGTTAAGCAGACCTCGAATTCAACCTGATCTCCACCTCACTGCACATCGGTAGCGGTATCCTAATGGCACTCCTGAGCTGTCTTCTTCTTTGAAGAAAATTCCGTTTAAAATGCTACAATCTTTAATTACCTGTAATGATTAAATATGACCACAAGGTGGAGCCAAACAACTCAACCGGTTGTGTTCAGTTCAGTCCTGTCCTGAAATAAACGGTCTCAACCATTTTATGGTTATCTAGTTGTTGTTGTTGTGGTTTGCATTTGTTGTCTTCTTGGTGGTCCCACTGTAGCAGTGTGTCATAAAGTGATAAAACATAATATAATGCAGTGTGCATTGACAGTGGCACTACTGTAAACTATGGCTTAAACATCACTGTGGAGTTGAATCCAGGGTTCAGGTGAACATGGGCAGACTCGATAAATGTGACACTGGTTTATCTCTTGTGATTACAGTTTTACATAAGTACAACATGATGATGTATAAAATATATAATAATGTCGAATCCAGGAGCTGTTATTTTTAAAGTGCTCTTCATTACCGGGGCCTCTGTTTCAAAAAGACACATTAATATTCCACTTGTGAATCTATTGGTAGCGTGTTATTGTCCTGAGTTTGAACATGCATGTTGCAACTTTATTTTTCAATAATTGCATCATTGAATTGTTTTGATCTCAAGGCTCTCAATTCTCCTTTTTCCTCATTGTCCCGCAGTTGTCCCAAATTGTACCTTCAACTGTCGCAGACTGAAAGTCCTCTTTGTTCAGTCTACATAATGAATACAGTTGAAGAACTTTGTTTCAGTAACTTGCATCACTTCACTGACTCACTCTGGTCGGCCATAGTTGTTCCCTGCACTTCAGTCTAAATAAAAGTTAAATCACCTTATGTCTGCGATGGAAATGTACATATGCTTTATTAGTATTTAGTAAGTAATCAAAAATCTCTTAAAGACTCATTGTATATTTGCAGTACTAGTATTTAAATATTTACAAACTCAAGCTAACTATTTACATATAAGCTATAGAAACATCCTAATCCACAGATCCGGAGAGAAAAGTGTGACACAGAAGGTCAAAAGTCTGTTTGCATAGGTACAGGTTGGTGCAAACTATTTACTAAAAAGCTATAGAAACATCGTGATCCTGAGAGAATGTCAAACAGCTCATTTGCATATTTACAGACTATTGGAAGAACTTATCCAGAGATCCGGAGAGAGAAGGTCAAACGTGCCTTCCTGTGCCACGTCTGCCGACTGTGAGCATGGCACAAGAGGAGAGGGAGAGAGCAGTTACTCTGAGCAGCATGCATGCCAATGAGTTACAATGAAATATATATGAATATATTCACTTTCCCCTGATAAGTCGCTGTATCTAGCCAGAAAGTCAGCGACCATGATAGGTTTCGTGAGAGTATGTGCTGGTGCCACCTCACTTTTTTCAAATTTAAACGCCTAAAAAAATGATATTCCATCAGGCATACATTTCAAAATTTCATTTGTAAGGAAGCATTTCTGTTCTGTCCCAGGACTGTACTTTGTGTCCCAGGTGCTATTTCTGTTGTCCTGCTTACTTTCTAGCGTTGCGACTGTGGTTTTAAGAGGGACACCGGCTGAGTATAAATGGATTAGGTTTATTCGTGACGTTGCTGGGCGTGAGTGCCCAGAGGACAACCAGTGATATAGACTTCTTCACCTTGGAGGATATCAGGGCCCAGCACTCTTAAGTAAAAAAAACAAATTTTTTGGACTGATACTCCAAAGTAAGGTGTGTCGATGTGTTTGTGTGTAGGTAAGTTGTAATGGCAGGGGGAGGGTCAGCAGGAGTTGACCTCAGCAGGAAGTTTGTGACGGAAGCTGAGCTTGATGAGCAGAGGAAGAAGAGGCAGGAGGAATGGGAGAAGGTCAGGAAGCCCGACGACCCAGAGCGTAAGAGCATACGCACTTACACACGGTACCAAAACGCACTAAACATCTAGAGCACATACAGCTGTGTGTACGTCCACATATTTGACTGTGTACTCCTCAGAGGCCCCAGAGGAGGAGTATGACCCACGCTCCCTCTTTGAGCGCCTGCAGGAGCAGAAGGACAAGAAACAAGAGGACTATGAGGAGCAGTTCAAATTCAGTGAGTCTCTGTTTCTGTCTGTCACATTAGGACTGTTAGCTCCCACTGTTATCTAGGTTTGAACCACGACAGAGAGCCAGTGCCTTTTGTCATGTGTTATAAAGATCACCAGTCACGACGAAGGTTCGTTCTCAGCGGAACCCATTAGTACTGTTAAATGTGAAACAACACTCAATGTTCCAACAGTCAGCACATCTTAGGTTCTGCACACACGACTGCATTAAAATGTTTCTTATATTCTGTGTACTCCTGATAGTGGAATAAGCCACTGTACACTCTGTGTGTATATATATATATATATATATATATATATATATATATATATATATGTGTATATATATGTATATGTATATATATATATATATATATATATATATGTATATATATATGT